GCCTCCCAAGTAGCTGGGACCACAGGCGCCCGCCACAATGCCTGGCTATTTTTTTTTAGTTGCAGCCGTCATTGTTGTTTGGCGGGTCTGGGCTGGGGATTCGAACCCACCACCTTAGGTGTACGTGGCTGGCGACTTAGCCGGTTGAACTATAGGCGCCGAGCCCCAGCTATTTTTTTGTTGTTGTTGCAGTTGTCATTGTTGTTCAGCTGGCCTCGACCAGATTTGAACCCGCCAGCCTCAGTATATGTGGCTGGCACCGTAACCACTGTGCTACGGTGCCAAAACAGTTCAACAATGTTTTATAATTTTCAATGGACAAGTCTTGTACTTTTTTGGTTAAATTTATTCTGAAGTATTTTATTGTTTTTAATGCTATTGTAAATTAAATTATTATTACTTTTTTGAGACAAAGTGTCATTATATCACCCTCGGTAGAGTGCCATGGTGTCACAGCTCACAGCAACCTCAAACTATTGGGCTTAAGTGATTCTCTTGCCTCAGCCTACCAAGTAGTTGGGACTACAGGTGCCTACCACAACACCCAGCTATTTTTAGAGATGAGCTCTCTCCATCTGGCTCAGGCTGGTCTTAAACTCCTGAGTTCAAGCAATCCACCTGCCTTGGCCTCCCAAGTGCTCCAAGTGCTGGGATTACAGGTGTGAGCCACTGCACCCAGCCTTTTCTTTATTTTTTAGATAGTCTTACTCTGTTGCCCTGGGTAGAGTGCCGTGACATAGTTCACAGCAACCTCAAACTCTAGACCTCAAGTGATCCCTCTTACCTCAGCCTTCCAAGTAGCTGGGGCTATAGGCGCCTGCCACGACACTTGGCTAGTTTTTCTATTTTTAGTAGAGACAGGATCTCACTCTTCCTCAGGCTGGCCTCAAACTCTTGAGTTCAGGCAGTCCACCCCCCTCAGCCTCCCAGAGTGCTAGGATTACAGGTATGAGCCACTGCACCTGGCCCACAAAATACACTCCATGTGTTGGCCACCTCTCTATACACACATGAAATCTCTCCTGCTCGTGGTAAACACATTCCATAATTATGTTGACATAATTTTTTTGTATGCATGGTGACTTTGGGGACACCGTGTATTGTTACTGATCAAGGAGGGCTGAAAAGGGCAGCAATGGCAATAAGCTGTGAATGAGGAGGAATAATGAATGAATCCAAGGAAGAAGAAGTCTTCTTTGAGACCTAATAAAGAGGATCAGGGAGCCGGGCGCGGTGGCTCACGCCTGTAATCCCAGCACTTTGGGAGGCTGAGGTGGGAGGATTGCTTGAGCTCAGGAGTTTGAGGCTTGTCTGAGCAAGAGTGAGACCCCAACTCATGGGAAAAAATGGAAAACCCAGCCGGGCACTGTGGTGAGCGCCTGTAATACCAGTGGCCTTGGAGGCTGAGGCAGCAGGGTGCCCACAAGCCGGAGTCTGAGGTTGCAGTGAGCTACGATGCCATTGCACTCTGCTCAGGGCAAAGGGTTAGAACTCTGTCTCGACAAAAAAAAAAAAAAAAGAGGATCAGGGGTCATCTGCAGAGAGATCCTTTGTCCCTCTGAGCATATTTGTTATTTTTAGGGAGGAATAAAAGGGAATCCCACACGGAAACAGTGCTGGAAAGAATCATACTGGGGAGGCTGCTGACGTGTCAAGATGCTGTCAAGACCAAAGCCAGGGGAATCCGAGGTGGACCTGCTGCGCTTCCAGAGTCAATTTCTTGCAGCTGGTGCAACCCCAGCAGTACGATTGGTGAAGAAAGGAAATAGGAGAGGTGATGATGCTGACCCAGCACAGGCTTTGCGGCAGGACCATCGGGATATGGTGATATTGGACAGTGAGTATCTGTGGGGATGAGGCTGAGGAGGGGAAAGGGTGTAGCCTTAGGGGCCGCTTCCTTTTCCTGATAAAGCTGGGTTCTGCCCTATCATTATTTCAGACATTGCATAGTCTCTATCGCTATAGCCCCATTTTACAGATGAAGAAACAGGCTCAAAGAAGTTAAATATTTTAGCCAGGTGCAGTGGTTCATGTATATAATCCTAGCTACTAATCCCATCCCAAATCCCTGCTATGGAGGCTGAGGCAGGAGCTACTAGTTCTAGCTTCATGGAGCTAGAAGTTTGAGTCCAGCTTGAATAGAATAGTGAGACCTGGTGTTAAAAAAAATCAGAAAAATTTAGACTGGGCCTGGTGGCTCACATCTGTAATCCTAGAACTCTGAGCTGCCGAGGCTGGTGGATTGCTGGAGCTCAGGAGTTCAAGACCAGCCTGAGCAAAAGCAAGACCCCATCTCTGCTAAAAATAGAAAAAACTAGCTGGGTATTAGGATTGGCACCTGTAGTGCCAACTACTCAGGAAGCTTGGGCAAGAGGATCACTTGAGCCTGAATTTGAGGTTGCTATGAGCTTTGATGCCATGGCACTCTACCCAGGGCAACAGAGTGAGATTCTGTCTCAAAAAATATTAATTAAGAGTGGCGCCTGCAGCTCAATGAGTAGGGTGCTGGCCCCATATACTGAGGGTGGCGGGATCAAACCTGGCCCTGGCCAAACTGCAACAAAAATATAGCTGTGGGTGGTGGTGGGTGCCTGTAATCCTAGCTACTCGGAGTCTGAGGCAGGAGAATTGCCTAAGCCCAAGAGCTGGAGGTTGCTGTGAGCTGTGACGTCATAGCACTCTACTAAGGGCAACAGAGTGAGACTCTGTCTCAAAAAAAAAAAAGGCTCAGTGCCACCAGCCACATACACCTACGGTGGAGGGTTCGAATCCAGCCTGGGCCCGCCAAAACAACAATGACGGCTGCAACCAAAAAATAGCC